CACATTATCAAGGAACTATGAAAGTAAAGCATCCAAGGAAGCTATATAAGGGGTCTGGCCAGCACCTCACTATCAGATCCCACAACGGTTAAACACCTCTACCATACACTTTACAAGGTATACTCAACAGACTTATTCCCCTATAATTTTTGCACTCTCTTTTGTCCCCTTTGCCTTTATACAAGGGAACTATGCATGCTCTCTGCCAATCCCTAGGTACCTTACCCTCTTCCATACATTTATTAAATAATTGCACCAACCACCCCAAAACTATATACCCACCTGCTTTTAACATTTCTATCTTTATCCCATCAATCCCGGCTGCCTTACCCCCTTTCATTTTACCTACTGCCTAAAGAACTTCCCCCACACTCACAACTGGCTCTTCCTCACTCCTACAAGATGTTATTCCTCCTTGCCCTATACACGAAATCACAACTTCCCTATTTTCACCAACATTTAACAATTCCTGAAAATATTCCCTCCATCTTCCCAATACCTCTAACTCTCCATTTAATAACTCTCCTCTCCTATTTTTAACTGACAAATCCATTTGTTCTCTAGGCTTCCTTAACTTGTTAATCTCACTCCAAAACTTTTTCTTATTTTCAACAAAATTTGTTGATAACATCTCACCCACTCTCTCATTTGCTCTCTTTTTATATTGCTTCACCACTCTCTTAACCTCTCTCTTTTTCTCCATATACTCTTCCCTCCTTGCATCACTTCTACTTTGTAAAAACTTCTAATATGCTAACTTTTTCTCCCTTACTACTTACTCTCTTTACATCATCATTCCACCAATCGCTCCTCTTCCCTCCCGCACCCACTTTCCTGTAACCACAAACTTCTGCTGAACACTCTAACATTACATTTTTAAACCTACCCCATACCTCTTCGACCCCATTGCCTATGCTCTCATTAGCCCATCTATCCTCCAATAGCTGTTTATATCTTTCCCTAACTGCCTCCTCTTTTAGTTTATAAACCTTCACCTCTCTCTTCCCTGATGCTTCTATTCTCCTTGTATCCCATCTACCTTTTACTCTCAGTGTAGCTAAAACTAGAAAGTGATCTGATATATCTGTGGCCCCTCTATAAACATGTACATCCTGAAGTCTACTCAACAGTCTTTTATCTACCAATACATAATCCAACAAACTACTGTCATTTCGCCCTACATCATATCTCTTTTTCTTAAAATATGTATTACCTATAACTAAACCCCTTTCTATACAAAGTTCAATCAAAGGGCTCCCATTATCATTTACACCTGGCACCCCAAACTTACCTACCACACCCTCTCTAAAAGTTTCTCCTACTTTAGCATTCAGGTCCCCTACCACAATTACTCTCTCACTTGGTTCAAAGGCTCCTATACATTCACTTAACATCTCCCAAAATCTCTCTCTCTCCTCTGCATTCCTCTCTTCTCCAGGTGCATACACGCTTATTATGACCCACTTCTCGCATCCAACCTTTACTTTAATCCACATAATTCTTGCATTTACACATTCATATTCTCTTTTCTCCTTCCATAACTGATCATTCAACATTACTGCTACCCCTTCCTTTGCTCTAACTCTCTCAGATACTCCAGATTTAATCCATTTATTTCCCCCCACCGAAACTCCCCTACCCCCTTCAGCTTTGTTTCGCTTAGGGCCAGGACATCCAACTTCCTTTCATTCATAACATCAGCAATCATCTGTTTCTTGTCATCTGCACTACATCCACGCACATTCAAGCATCCCAGTTTTATAAAGTTTTTCTTCTTCTCTTTTTTAGTAAATGTCTACAGGAGAAGGGGTTACTAGCCCATTGCTCCCGGCATTTTAGTCGCCTCATACGACACGCATGGCTTACGGAGGAAAGATTCTTTTCCACTTATATATATATAATATATATATATATATATATATATATATATATATATATATATATATATATATATATATATATATATATATATATATATATATATATATATTATATGTATATATATATATATGTCGTGCCGAATATGTAAAATTGGTCAATTAGTAAGAACTCATTGAAAATTAAGACTTTTCCAAAATTTTCTCTTATACGTTTAAAGATGTATTTTTTTCATTAACGTTAATGTAAAAAAATTTAATTTTGCACCAAAAGAAACTTAGAAAACTTACCTAACCTTGTTATAACAAGAGCAATTTATTTTAGCCTAACCCAACTAAATATATTTTAGATTTGTTTACAGTAATTTAATACTAAACAAACATAATGAAATATATTTTTTTCGTTAGGTTCAGAATGATTTTGGCGAAATTATTGCATACACAAAATTTCGCTTGTCCTATATGGCAAGATGAACGTTGCTATTTAGGCCAAGATCGCAAGTTCTGCCTATTCGGCACGACATACATACATATATATATGTCGTGCCGAATAGGCAGAACTTGCCATCTTGGCTTAAATAGCAACGTTCATCTTGCCATATAGGGCAAGTGAAAATTTGTGTATGCAATAATTTCGCCAAAATCATTTTGAACCTAACGAAAAAAAATATATTTCACTGTGTTTGTTTAGTATTAAATTATTGTAAACAAATCTAAAATATATTTAGTTGGGTTAGGCTAAAATAAATTGTTCTTGTTATAATAAGGTTAGGTAAGTTTTCTAAGATTCTTTTGGTGCAAAATTATAAATTTATACATCAACATTAATGAGAAAAATATATTTTTAAACGTATAAGAGAAAATTTTAGAAAGGACTTAATTTTAAATGAGTTCTTGCTAATTGACCAGTTTTACATATTCGGCACGACATATATATATATATATATATATATATATATATATATATATATATATATATATATATTAATATATATATACATATATATATATATATATATATATATATATATATATATAATATATATATATATATATATATATATATATATATATATATGTATATATGTATATATATATATATATATATATATATGTATATATATATATATATATATATATATATATATATATATATATATATATATATATATATATATATATATATATATATATATATATATATATATATATATATATATATATATATATATATATATATATATATATATATGCCGAATGTGAAAAACTGGTCAATTAGCAAGAACTCATTTAAATTTAAGTCCTTTCTAAAATTTTGTCTTATACGTTTAAAGATATTTTTTTTTTTCATTAATGTTAATGTAAAAATTTTTAATTTTGCACCAAAAGAAACTTAGAAAACTTACCTAACCTTATTATAACAAGAGCAATTTATTTTAGCCTAATCCAATTAAATATATTTTAGATTTGTTTACAGTAATTTAGTACTAAACAAACACAGTGAAATATATTTTTTTCGTTAGGTTCAGAATGATTTTGGCGAAATTATTGCATACACAAATTTTCGCTTGTCCTATATGGCAAGATGAGGGTTGCTATTTAAGCCAAGATCGCAAGTTCTGCCTATTCGGCACGACATATATATATATATATATATATATATATATATATATATTATATATATATATATATATATATATATATATATCAGTCAGTCTGCTCACATTGCACGTTGCTCCATAAACATACTTATCTACGTTCATGTTATCATAGTGGGTTATTGATCTACTCAGGCTTCTAATTGCATTCCTATAAATTCATTTTCATTATTTACTTCTCTCCTAATATTATTCCTAATGCCAGACAGAGATATACCAAAATTACATTCTCCTCCTGGGTACTCTTCTTGGCTAACATATAAACTTTATCATGAAGGAGTAATTCATTGTGTGATTGGATCCATAGCAATTATACATTAATTCCTCTTTGCCGGATTTTTGAGTATCTATACCTGGCTTCTCCAATGAGCATATTGTTGGAGTCATTATGAGTCAAGAGCCTTCAATGATGACATAGAATCAGTAATAATGATAGAGTCAAGTTCAGTGTCATAGGTTAGCTTTAGCACCACTAGGATTGCAAACAATTCAGTTGCAGTGTAGACACCCGGATGTTAATTCTTATGCCTAACTAAACAAATTTATTATCGTTCTTAACTAGAGAGGAGGCGACGAGAGCAGATGCAGCACTGCCAGAAGTCTCTTGTTTAGATCCATCAGTGTATATAAAATTTGTGATAACTTATTACTACCAGCTAGGCGAGAAATTTCTTCTTGAGCAGTTGCTTTAACAAGTGATTTAAGGAAGGGATTACTAGCAATGAGCTTCTTGGGAGGGACTTGCAGGTATGTGATATTAAATGAATACATTATCCATGGAGGGGTGAAATGCTCTTGTTGCGTACAGTAGGAAGCCTTACTATAATAATATAAGGGAACCTATATACTACAAAAGTATTACACTGTTAACACCATACTCAGTTTGCTGAATTGTGGGTCATCATCTAAGACCCGCGTCAGGAAACACCTGTCCTGTTTCCTGACGAACCTTACCTAACCTTACCTAACAACTTTTGCAAAAGTTTATACAATGAGAACCATAACAGTAGCAATAGCAACAACATAAGCCATAGCAACAGGTAGAACAACAGCTAGAATGATAACACCTAGAACAATAATAGCTAGAATAGCTAGAATAACAACTAGAACAGCTAGAACAATAACTAAAACAATGAAAAATAGAACAGCCAGAAAAATAACTAGAACAATAACAACTAGAACTAGAACATTAACTAGAGCAAAAACTAGAACCGCTAGAATAATAACTCAAAGAATGACAGCTAGAACAATAACAGCTTAAACAATAGCAATTAGAACAATAACAAATAGAACTATAACTAGAACAGCTAGAACAATAACTAGAACTAGAACAGCTAGAACAATAACTAGAACTAGAACAGCTAGAACAATAACTAGAACTAAAACAGCTAGAACAAAAACAGTTAGAACAACAACAGCTTGAAAAATAGCGACTGGAACAACAACAGCTACAAACAACTCTCACCTTTGCCAAAATCCATGTCTAAGTACATGTCGAGTTTCCGACAAAGAGTATATTTTTCTCCGTCTTTCAAGTCTCCGCAATCCTGCAGGTACTCCTTGGACTTGGCCGTAGAGAGGTCCTTGCAGTCTGCACTCTGGTGACTGTTGCATACGTAGCATTTAATGGCTGACACTGCAATAGAGAGAAGACTGGTCTTAGTTTATGGCTGGGGAAGATGGGACACTCTCATTATAAAGGCTGAATGTTTGTTTAATCATCAATTATTATTATTATTATTATTATTATTATTATTATTATTATTATTAATTATTATTATTATTATTATTATTATTATTATTATTATTATTATTATTATTATTATTATTAGTAGTAGTAGTAGTAGTAGTAGTAATATTAGTATTGATTATTATAATCATAATTATTACATCTTATATTATTATTTATTATTATAATTATTGTTACTTATAATAATAGTATCAATGATAACAATAATTTGATCATAATAATCATTATATCTTATATTATTGCTATCATTATCGTTGTTACTATTAATAATAGTGTCAATGATAATATTAGTTTGGTCATTATAATCATTATATCTTACAATATTTACTGATAATATTATTGTTATTATTAATACCAATATCAATGATAATATTAGTTTGATCATTATAATCATTATTTTTTATATTATTTACTACTAATATTAATATTATTATTATTATTGTTACTATTAATAATAATATCAAAGATAATATTAGTTTCATCATTATAATTATTATATCTTATAATTTTGTATTAATTATTATCATTATTATTATTATTATTATTATTATTATTATTATTATTATTATTATTATTATTATTATTATTATTATTATTATTATTAAAGTGCTAAGCAGCACAAAGGGTGGTGGAGAATATTTAAGAAATATCAAAAGAGATGTACAAAATGCACAGCTTCAGTGACGCCTTGTACAACCACACACACACACACACACACACACACACACACACACACACACACACACACACACACACACACACACACACACACACACACACACACTGATAATTAAAAAAAAATAAAGTTTTAAAAATAATACGCAGTCTCAGGAGCAGGTACTAATGAGGCATGTGAACACATGTTTAGAAAACACCTGCAGGGAGCCAAAAAAAAAAACCGCATAGCTAAAACACATGAAACACAAGGGAAAACGATGGGTGTGGGGAATTACGATCACACAAATCATGTACAGAACTCATTACTCTAAACACAAATACGTAAATATTGGGCACAAAAAATTCATTGAATAAAATACATACACAAACTCGTGTACAGAAATCATTATCGCATAAAATAAGCGCACATAAAAATCACGTACACAAAGGTCATCATCTCATGTAGGTCCGTAGGATGAGTGTCAAAGAAAAGAAAACCAACTTTAAACCAGAAAATTTCCAGCCGCGAGGAAAATACTATGCAAAACTTATGCCCGAATTATGCAAAAAATATGCAAGACAAAAAAATACGATACCTAACCTGCACATAAAATGTCCTCTTGCCTGGAAATATATACATTGTTTAAGGCAGTTGTAAACGAAAAATTCGTCTTCGTGGGCGAGAATGTTGAGAAGTGCCGCGACTTTGTAAATATGTGAAGAAAATGAGGTAACAAGTGAGGTGGTAAATGTATAGCCCAGAGCAGTGCAGGAGAACTGTTTGCACGGTGGGCAGAGCTGTGTGCACGGTGGGCAGAGCTGTGTGCACGGTGGGCAGAGCTGTGTGCACGGTGGGCAGAACTGTGTGCACGGTGGGCAGAGCTGTGTGCACGGTGGGCAGAGCTGTGTGTACGGTGGGCAGAGCTGTGTGCACGGTGGGCAGAGCTGTGTGCACGGTGGGCAGAGCTGTGTGTACGGTGGGCAGAGCTGTATGCACGGTGGGCAGAGTTGTATGCACGGTGGGCAGAGCTGTGTGCACGGTGGGCAGAGCTGTGTGCACGGTGGGCAGAGCTGACGCAGTACTAGGAAAGGAAGAAGAACGAGGAAAAGCCCACAGGGAGAGACAGGGGAGGAAAGAAGGAAGGGTGAAAGCCCACAGAAAGGGGGAGGGAAGAACGGTGAAAGCCCACAGGGAGAGGAGGGAGGAACGGTGAAAGCCCACAGGGAGTGGAAGAAAGGAAGGGTGAAAGCCCACAGGGAGAGGAAGGAGGGAAAGATGAAAGCCCACAGGGATAGGAAGGAGGGAAGGGTGAAAGCCTACACGGAGAGGAGGGATGGAGGAGGCCACAGCAAGTGGAGCGCTTGAAGTCCCTAGAACTATACCTTCTTAGAACGAAGGTGAGAAAGATACATCATAATCTACACCTTGAAGATACTGGCGGGATTATTATCAAACCTGCATATCGAAATTACTTCTTATGAACATAAGAGGCTTTGCAGACGAAGCAGGATAACTCCAATGAAAAGCAGAAGAACGATGAGTACAATAAGCGATAACTTATTAAGCGTTAAGGGACCGCGACTCTTCAACGCCCTCTCTTCATGCATAAGGGGGATCAACAACAAACCCCTAGTTGTCTCCACGAGCTAACTCGACAGATTCCTTAAAACAGTTCCTGATCAACCGGGTTTTGGTGCATACGTTGTGCTGTGGGCGGAGGGCACTAAGGGCCTAATCGATAATGCCAGCAACCAGGAGGCCTGGTCTGGGACCTGGCCGCGGGACGGTGACCTCCGGAAGCGACTCCAGGTAAATTGAGGGAAGAGACCCACAGGGAGGGAGGCAAAAGGATACTTTTATTTTTAAGTCATAATGAAAGTATGGTGAGAGGGGAGAGGGGAATTAAGGAAGGGGGCAGCGGTTGGGGGTAGAAATATAAAAAGGAAGGTATGGGTAACAAGTAAGATGATGAAAGGAACAGACTAGTGACCTGCCACTCCTGGTGAGGAGTAGGTTCAGAAATACTTATTTAATTATCAATTTGGACAGGGAGTTCATATTGCGCATGGCTCTCGTGAGAGAAAGAAACAATTTCTCTTTGGTGGGACCATTTCGTAGTTGCTGGAAGCGCTCGGGTTCCATGACTATGAATATGAAGTGTTTCTCGTTCTCGTTGAAGTCTTCCTCGTCATGTTAGATCTCGAGAAGCGAACTGTATTCGACTTTGAAGGGTCGTGGGTGTATTTGATCTTTTCGCTGGTTAGTCAGTAGATGTAGCGGCGCTCGAATGTTTAGCCCGGGGTTTCTCTGTGATTGTTTGGTAAGCGTTGGTTTCTGGCTGTGGTTGTTGATTGTTGCTCGGCAGGTATCCACGTTAGCTGATTGCTTTTGGCTATGGTGATAATTGTTTCTTGGTCTGAATCTTGAACTCAAACGTCAATGTGCGTTGGCCGCAGTCTGAGTGAAAGACTAGTGCTTCGCGGGACTGACTTGCAGCACTGGGATGAGAGGTAGTTCGATTTCTGGCTGATAATGAAGTTTAGATATAATTATTCCGAGTATGTTGCCTGGGGACAGATCCTCTGGGAAGTTCATCTCTGGAAAGTTCTTCCGACTGAAGATGGCGTTGATTATTGAACTGGATGATCCTGGGTATGGCACGTTGTGCAGATGCTGTGTATGTTGATGCTTGTGAGTAGCTTTGTCTTAGATCTTGTGGCATGTCCTGGGCATACGTAGTGCCCCATTTTTCGGCTGAGCTGGGTAGGGTTTGGCTGAGATCTGGCTTCCACTTGTTTCTTGGCGACCAGTTCCTTCTTTGTAGGACATTTAGGTGACAGAAAGGTTGATAAAAGAAAGTAAACCCACTGAAAGGGAGGGAGGGACGGTGGGAGGGAGAGAGAAATCTCACAGGTAGGTTCAAGCCCCCCTCTTTTTTTGGCGTCTAATAATTTAACTCCAGTAGGCCTATTGTACCACTCAGCAACACAAGATTGTAAATGGTTTCGCGATACCGGCAAACTGTAGAAAAGGTCAGTTGTATATAGTTTTGGACATTAAAAGAAACGTATCGCCATTAGTGGCTTCATTACGACTGATGAAGTCACTCGTGGCGAAAAGTTTCTTACAATAAATATTCAGAATTGTTCACGAATATCCTTTTCCATTATTGTCAACAAAGTTTGCACGTTCGGCTCGTGGCAACACAGCTCTGCACGACTAACACTCCCGCGTAATCTTCATCAATAAAACAGCTGCTTCATCTGAGTTTTATTCCAACCCTTGAGTCCCACAGAGAGGAGGGAGGACAGATGTAAACCCGTAAAGAGGGGGGAGGAAAGGAAATGCAACGGCAGGTAGGAAGGAAGGAAGAGGGAAGGATGGAGATCCACGAGGTGGGGGGTAGACGAAAGAGGGAGTGGCCTCAGAGGAAAGGAATGTTAGAATGGAAACCACAAATGGAGGGAGAAAGGAAATACATAGGAAGAAATGGAAAGAAGCAGTTTCCAAGAAAGGGAGGAGTGCAGGTAACCCCTCACTGAGGGAACTGAGAGCCGCCACCAGGAGAGTGAGAGAAGAGTGGAGTCACTGGGCGTGGCTGCTACCTCCAGTGACAAAACAAATAAATCTTCCTAAAACTTGACCACACCCCTGTACCAACACTACCACACAAATGTACCACCACTACCACATCCCTGTACCACCACTATCACACCCCTGTACCACCACTACCACATACCTGTACCACCACTACCACATCCTTGTACCACCACTACCACATCCTTGTACCACCACTAGGACACCCCTGTACCACCACTATCACATACCTGTACCACCACTACCACATCCCTGTACCACCACTACCACATCCTTGTACCACCACCAGGACACCCCTGTACCACCACTATCACATACCTGTACCACCACTACCACATCCCTGTACCACCACTACCATATCCTTGTAACATCATTACGACACCTCTGTACCACCACTACACTACACCTCTCTACCACCACTATACTACACCTCTGTACCACCACTACACTACACCTCTGTACTATCACTACTCTACACCTCTGTACCACCACTACACTACACTCACACTCATGTACCACCACTACAATATACTCACACTCCTGTACCACTATAATACACTACACCTCTGTACCACCACTACACTACACTCACACTCATGTACCACCACTATACTACATCCACACCCCTATA